CATGTGGTTCATAACAATCAAATTATGATCATGACTATATTAATGCTCCAATGATATATGATATATTAGTATATTATGTCATGAGATCAATTTTAAAATTAGGTTCAACAAATATATCAAATTGATATATATATATATATATATATATATATATATATATATATATATATATATATATATATATATATATATATATCAATTTATTGGCCGTGGAGTCACGTTATTCTTTTTTGTGCTAAAATCAGGTATATCCATCAGTTAATTATTTATCATTTGAATCTTAAAATTTAAATTATTAAAAAAATAATCTAATAATTTAAATTATTTTTTATAGATAATTTAATATTAATGGAAGGATGATCCATGATGTACTACAAAGCTACTCCTCAAGCCTAAAAAAAGATGTGTTACTATTCTTTCTTAACTTAGATGATTTTTATTAAATTATACTAAACTTATATTTGTTTCTAATTTAAAAAATAATCTATTTTTATTTTTTTTTTAAAAAAATATAATTATTTTTAATAATTTTACCATATCATCATCGTATTGATATATGATAAATCAATTTGCCTCGATATATGCTATACCAACGATCGATCGGTACAGATGAATAAGATAACCTCGTATAAAACTCTATTATTTTATCATAAAAGATGGGCTCCTTGGCGTTTGACTGTGTGCTCCATCCTCCATGATTAGCAGAAAAAAATAAGAGCCCGCGATAAGCTTTTCTCGAGAAATAATATTATTATTCCTTTCTAAGTCGGGATGTGCAAAATAACTTTATATCAAAGCGATATGATCCCTTTTAAGCTACATAGTGTTCACTAATTATAAAGATACATGCACGATATACATTCATAAGTCAACAATGCAAGCTTACCACTCAAATAAATCATCATGTTATGTAATTCTTCAATTCCATATCTCTTTAACCCCACTCAAGCAAGTACAATGATCGATCCTCCTTACATTGCCCAAATCACTATGGCTACACAAATAATCCCTACATAGTGTCCTGCAGATATCGATGTACAAAGGCTGCCGCCATGATCTGTGTAACAATGCTGCCTGCTCCGATGAGATTCAACAACTACTACTTCACCTTTTCAGCATTTGATCGAGTGCTGCGACGGAAACAGTCTGTGGCAGATTTTGCAGTGGGGAATATACAAAGTAGCTGACCATTTTGATTCATCTCCAATTGCTGACACCAATCCCAATCTGTCTCGTTTACTCCAATGTGTTAGATAATGCGACTTGGCCAATTGCCAACCTTATTCAACAACGAAAGACTAGTGATGTGATGGTTTTTGCTCTTGTGCTACTAATCATCGCTGCATTGGCGAAGGCCCACCGCACCATGCGACGTTGGTTTGAGATCTGTTCTTTCCTTTCCTCTAACCTTATAGTATTTGAGTCTTACCGTTGACTATAGGACCAGCTCTCGATATCAGGTTGATTGGAGAGCATTGACTCACTGCTGTATAGCTTCTGCTGTGCTTAGCAGAGAAGAAGCTGTACCTATAGCAGCTGTTCTACCTGTGTGTGAGGGGGAAACGACGACAACAGATACTCTCCAGCTTCCCTCGGAGCAGATTTGGGTCATGGCGACGCAGAAGCTTCAGGACAAGGAACTGAAAGAAGGCAACGACATTGGAGCTCCTCCACCTCCATCCTCGGAGACTTCTCCTGCTCATGAGTTCTCCTTCTCGAGCTCCCTCCAACCTTCTTTTACTTCCATACCAAATCATAAAACCCTCATATACAACAAGAACACGGCAACAATACTCAACTTGCCCTCCGCCGGCGACATATTCTCCCACGGACACCAACTTCACCTCCACCCACCGTCACAACCGTCCGTTGCAGCTCCCCGCTCCCGTAACGTCTTCGCCGGAAGCTTCAGCCGTCCTCTGGAGCATACCAGAAGTGGTCTAAGCCTCAATCGTCATCTCATCGATCATCGTGATAGTGCCCGTGAGAACGAAGAGAGTATCAAAAACAAGACCTTCTCCTTCTTTTTCGGACACAGGAAGTGGCGGAAGGAGGGCGACAGCGGAGACAAAGAAGAGGTTAAGAAGAAGAAAAAGAAAGGGTTCGACATGAGCTGCTGGATAGCAAAGAAGTACGCAAGCACGATGGAGATCTTCTTCGGGGAGAAGCATGAGCTCCTTCGGAGGCCATACCGCAAAAAAAGGGATGGATGGTGGAAGAAGAAGGGACAGCTATCGGCGCCGACCTCCATGAGGACATCTCCCTCCAACAGCGGCCGCCTCTCGGCGACGACATTGACGTTCGCTTCCTCGGCTGACAGTGCAGTGGAAGAAATCCACAGTGGGATTCAGGCTGCTATTGCTCACTGTAAGAGTTCTAATACCAACAAAGATGAGAAATGTAAATGCTGTCATGTGAAATGAACCGTACGGCGTACCGAAGGAATCGCATAAGTCTGCATTAAGTTCTCTTTGAGTTCCTTCTTTTCGTTTCCTTTTGGTTTTTTGGTTTGTGGGTGTTGCAGAATTGTATATAAGCCATTTGTAATGAAAAACCTTCTTTGATCTATAAATCTATTCCCATCCATTAGTATCAAATTTCTATTGTCAGCGTTCTATTGGAGGAGGTTATCAGCGAGAACCTTAAGAGCGTTGACTATGACGATTTGACTAGTAGTGTAAGCTCGTGTGCGTGTGTCAGAAATTTTGTAATGATTATTCTGAAATTGAAATTCAATTTAAAATTTCAACTGTTATGAGTTAAACTCAATACACATAATTTAATTATGAGACTGCTTTCTCTTCATCTTGCATGCATCAATATTTTTAATATTTTCTTTTATTCATGTATGGGCATAGGATCTTTCTCTTATGTTTTTTATATTACAAGACGGTTCACTCATCCGCATCTATCCATACAAGTATGACTCGTCTTCACTCAATCAAATCATAATCTCGCTGGCTAACTCTTTTTCTTTTATTTTAATCTTTTTTTTTAATTTTTTAACTTATTGTTATTATTATTTTTTTTTTATCTATTTGGCTCTAATACTAAGTTAAACATCTTATAATGACTAGTCAGAGTCATTCTGATTGAATACCAATTTAAGTAAAAACTTAAGTTTCTAGATTATAGCTTAGATCTAAAATATATAAAGAGTTTAATATCAAGTCAAACTATAAAAAAATATAAAATAAATAAATATCTAATATCACCTTAGAATCTACACTCAACATATCTCTTTGTTTTACAAGTATAACATCATATTACATTCAGATGAGAGTTGATTAAGATTAAAATTAATTTATAAAGATATAATGGATATACTACTAACAACTTCAGTTTAAATTTTTTAACTCAATAGTTCAAGCACAATAAAATTAAAAGATAATCCAGTATATCAAGGCATGATGAGAGGCTTAAGTAAAAAAGATTATCTATAAATGAAGTTAGATGACTCACATAGAATTACTATTAAGCAATATCTCATATGCATTATGATAAAATTTGATTTGAATGATAATGTTAGACCCTTAAGTGAAAAAACTTTTAAATTCAAGTTTAACAAAGTTAACAAACTAGTTATGTAAAATTTTATATCAATGCAACTTAGAAATTTAAATCTACATGCCAAATATCTCTTATTCTACTAAATATTTTATAT